CCCACCTCTCTCTGTATACATACACACACACTCACATACATACATTCTCATTGACAAAATACAAATATACAAGTAAATATATTCATCAACGAACATATATATTCATCGATATATATACTCATTTACAGTATACATATTCTGATAAAATTTATTGAATATTTATCAGTGGATTACATATTATAAAATTAATTTTCTGGTTCTCAATTTATTTGACGGTCTCACTTAAATCCTTAGCTATGTACGTATAGACATATATATATATATATATATATATATATATGGTTAGGATCATGTGAGAAATTTTCATTTTCGTGAGAATGTGAAGGTTCTGCTAATATATGTGAAGGTTAACTTCACATGACTAGAAATCGTGTATTTCTAGTCCATGAGTTTCACACGATATAAAGTAATGTTCAGATATCTTACGATAAACCTTCGTTACGATATGAAAGCACCTTCAACCTTTTTCACACTTCATGAAATTGTTTTTTCATCGAAATCCAACTGTATATAAATATAACACACGATTTGTTTTTTTTATTAATACGGAATAGATAAAATCAAAACAGCATTCACAAACTAGTGTTTTCACCTTTTTTTTAGACATTTTGATTAATTATGGGTATTATCTCTTCTATGTTATAAAACATTTGACAAAAACTCTTAAAAATATTTTTTTATGCTTTAAGTATTGTTTATTGATTAATATTACTTAAAATTCAATATCACAAGTAAATTGTGCGTAAGTACAACTTTAAAAAAATTGAATTTGTGTAACTAATGTAGATAAACATAATTAAATACAAGATAAACATCTCATTTTAAATAAAAAACTTAAAATATAATTAGGATAATCATTGAGTTTTAACAGAATACTTAAGTATCATTCTTATAAAAATTATATTATTAAACAAAAATAAATTACTTTGTTATTAAATCTAAATTGAATTAAAATCATACCGAGAAAATGAACCGTATTATATTAACAGAGACAAAAAAATAATACGAAATAGTAATATCGATATATTTTTTAAAATTTTTATGATATTTTCAAATTTAGTTTTATTCAAAAGTAAAAACAATATCTTTCTCAAAACCACATAAACCGTATTATACTAACAGAGACAAAAAAAATAATACAAAATATTAAAATCCAGATATATTTCATAGTATTACACAAGTACCTTTTAATTATTATAAATGCATGTAAAGATTAGATGCCAACAAAACAAAACGGTTTCCTTTTGTTGTCTATCTTTAGTTAAAAACCGAAGCTTATAATCATGCGTCATGACCATACATCATGAGATTCCAAAACTCGATCAATGTTTTATGGTACAACGATTTCTTATTATTTTGAGTAAATTACGTTTTTTTGTCCCTATAGTTTGTTAAAACATTATGGATTTCGTTCTTGTGGTTTCAAAATTTCAGTTTTCATTCCTATAATTTGTAATTTATTTTTATTTTTATTTTTATTTTAATCTCTGAGGTCAAAATACTATTTTTAAGTATGAAAGGCTAAATAGAAATGAATTGTCAATCATAAGGACGAAAAATGCAATAAATTTTAAATCGTAAGGACGAAAAAAGTAATAAATTATAAACTATAGAGATGAAAATTGTAATTTTAAAACTATAAGAACGAAATAGAAAATTTCAACAAACCACAGGGACTAAAAATATAATTTACTCTTTTATTATTTTTATTAACCATTTACATCATCATACATATCTCATAATCACTCAATCTCATATTATTCGCGACCGACGAAATGAGAAAAATGATTCAAATCAACACCTCGAAACATGTGAAACTTACACATGTTTATTGCAAATGTTGTAAGTTGTCATGAACAAGTTTAAATTAATTTTAAGCTTTTATAAGTGCAATATGTATATATTATATCAAAGAAGAGTACTCGTGCAATGCAACGAGATATATTTCGATTTTTAGTGTTTCGTTTTATTTTGTCCCATGTCGATGTTATAATACGGTTTTATGTGGTTTTGAGAAAAACGGTAATGTTTTTATTTTTGAATAAAATTAAATTTGAAGATGTCTTTGAAAAGAAATATATCGATATTATTATTAAATTAACTATTTAAACGTTCTTGTTTTGTTGTATAGTTTATTTAATTTAATTTTTTATTATCATTTAATTTATGTTTGATAAGGAAGTAATTTATTTTTGATTTAATAATATAATTTTTTATAAAGATAATAATCAAGTATTATGTTATAACAAAATGATTATCCTAATTATATTTAAAATGAAATATTTATCTTGTATTTGATTATTTTTATCTATTCTTTTCCGATCAAGATGTATTGGGTTAATTCATAAATCTTTGGAGTTAGTTACACGAATTCAAACATGAAGCTTTAATAAGGGGCTGTTTACCAAATTTTCTATTAAGTTATGTATGGATAAATTTGTCTTTCTGGATAAATTTTTCTGTCTGGATAAATTTATGTTGTTGTTTACTTTTTTATCTGAATCAATAGTTTGAATAACATAAATGACTAATTTACCCCTAAGAGAATGAAATCGATAAAACAGAAATCAGCTAGGGTTTCTTTCTAGCAGCAAAGAAATCGAACACAAGCATGAAATCGAACAAACTCATGAAATCGAACACAAACATGAAATCGAACACAAGCAAGCAAACAGAAATCGAGCAAACTCATGAAATTGAACACACTCATGAAATCGAACACAAGCAAGCAAACAGAAATCGAGCAAACTCATGAAATCGAACACACTCATGAAATCGAACACAAGCAAGCAAACAGAAATCGAGCAAACAGAAATCCAACAAACATGAAATCGAACAAACTCATGAAATCGATATGGAACTTGAAGTCGATTTGTCGATGGAGAAGAAGAGAGCGTCGACTGTCATGGAGAAGAAGAGAGCAATCGGGCCGATTAGGGTTCTTTGGAGGAGAAGAGGGCGACGATGGTACCCAACAACAATCGGCCGATTGTCGATGTAGATGAATATTCACAAAAACAAAAATCGATTTGAAGCAAGCAGATCGTTGAGGAAGAAGATACCTAGGGTTTCATGTCCAAGGGTAATCGGCCGATCGTTGAGGAAGAAGATACGCTGGGTTTCATGTCCAAGGGTAATCGGGTCTTTTTTTGGGCTTAATGGGGACAAGTGTTGTTTTTGATCTGTGCGAATAAGCCCCTTTCTGCGCGAATAATCCCAAAGTAAACACATCATTTTGGCTGTGCGAATAAGCCCGTTTATCCGGTAAGCTCATTAAGCCACAAGTAAACAGGCCCTAAGTTATATTTATGCGTTATTTACTTGTAATCTTGAATTTTAAGTAGTATGCATTATTAAACAGTACTTTATGTATATAAAATAGTTTTTAAGAATTTTTCTCAAATGTTTTATAATATAGTATAGATAATCCGTTCAAATATAAAAAGACAATAACACCCTTTGAAATTAAAAAAGATTGAAATATTCTGATTGGTTGAATGGAAGTTACAAAATTTGTACAAATGGAGAGGTTTGCATATACCCTTATACAGACACATACATAAGTGTATAGGGAATGGTTTAAACGAGAACATTTTTATTTTACAAGAACGCAAGAACATCATTTTACTATAGTGTATCACATGTGATGTTATAGTTCATCACATATGATAGACATGTGATACTATATCGAATATGCGAACGACCTTTCACATGACCTAAGTTGCGGGCCAAGTAGCCCGCACACCACCTAGGCTCTTTCACGTGTATTATCGTATGCGACACCAGTCTTTGAAGTTGAACATGCCCCTTCTGCCACTGGCAGCAACAACTCATCCATCAGGTAAAGAAAGGCCAACATGTGAATTGCTCAGTACAAATAAAGCTAACAAACTTAAAAAAAGTTGAAGGTTCATAAAATAATAAAGTAAAATTACGATTGAAATTATAATATGATTAGCAATAGAGCTAATTATGAGTTGATCATATGTCTAATATACATATATTAGTTGACTTAACAATCGTATTGAATTTATGGTATAAAAAGACATCAGGTTTGGTCAGGTCGGGTTCAAATTGCTCTAACCCAATTCCAATTCATATGTACGGTCCAAAGATTTTACAACTCGATTAAAAATCGAATCGCTTTTAAATTGGATTGGATTAAGTTATTTTGGGTTTGGTTGACCGGGTTGGTTAGGTTACTAAGGTTTTCATGAACCTTTGGTTCCATGATGTCCGAATACATTCAGCCATTTCCTGCTCATATACTTCTTCCCGCCCATCCTCCTCTCTTTCAAATCAATCTTATTTCGAAACTGAACATTTCTTCTGACGAGTGAAGCGACCTCTGTTGTTCCTGTTCCTCAAGTTCAGATTGCAAATATCATGAGTTCCCGTACAGGTAAAAAAGAAACCCTAATCCCTAATTTGTTCCTTTCATTTTGATTTTAACGAAATTTGTGTATGTAACATCTTCCTGTTAGGTGATAAGGGAGTTGATGTCTGGTTACAGATCAAGGCAACTGAATCAGATGATGAACCTCAACAACAGCAAACTGCCATTGTTTACAGACGCAAAAAACCCCAAAAAGAAAGTGCACCAACCACGTGAGTTGATCATATTTGCTCCGAATTGGAGTCTAATTTGGGAATCAAACTTAATGTATTTGCTACAAATAACTCTGTCGTACTACTCCTTTTTACGGTTTAACGGAGTTGAACTTGTTTTTCCAGCAACCAAACTGTTCTTATCGATTTCAAGTTTCAAAACTCAAATGTGGAAGCGGGTTGCAGTTTCAATCTTGTGTAGAATAATTGGTTACAAGTTTGTGTTTAATATCCTTAGTCCTTACCAGGAAGCAGCTGAGTTGTAGTCAGAAGAATCGAGTGAGTTTGGTCCCAGAAAAAAGGATCAGTTGGAATCGTTCTCTCTTCACCAGGTGTTCCAACTTATCCTAGTGCATTTTATACGGGTTTCTCTCTTTCTTTGCCCAACTGGGTGGTGGATTTTGTTGTACATATAAGCTTGTGTGTATTGGCTTGCTTCAATTCACTCCATTTTTTTGGAAGCTTAAATCATTGGAAGTGGGTGCCTTGTTCATTCAACTATTATGTTTATAAAATACTGGTGCTTAATGATATAGCTATGAATTTAATCAATATATATATATATATATATATATATATATATATATGCACCCTTTACCTTTGGTATTCTTCTATTTCCAGAGGGCGAACAAGTATTGCTGTTACCAATTGTGCTCAATATGGACCTGAAAAGGAGAAGCGGTTGAAAAAACACAAGCCTCCCCTTGCTAGAGTATGATTATGTTACTTGTAATTGTATTCTACTTTATGCTTTCGTTTACATGTATTCAATTTTTGGTAATCTTATGTTGCCTTTTTTCAATGAACAACTAATCTACCAAACTGAAATTGTCCAGGCAAAAGGGGTACCACTTCAAAACTATGATAGGGAGTGTGCATACTTTCAGGAGGTTGATGCCTTTGAATTGTTAGAGGAAAGTCCCTCACCCCAAAAGAAGACCTGGTTGATGGGCACCAAAAATGGTGTTGCTGCATCAGATATATCATCGGTGTTGAAGAAGTGGTTACTTACCCGAAAACTAATTCGCAACAGTTGCGAACCCTCTGCTTCACTTTCCAGGATCCTGGAAACTCCAGGGGATTCTATACGTGATGATGTTTTGGAATTTCCAAGCTTAAAAACTTGTTTTAAAACAACTTCTGGAGCCACTGCAGGTGTGAAATCCAACCATAGTAAATATAATTCGAGACTCATTGGCGATGATGTTCTTGAAAGGCATACCTCTTCGATAAAGAGAATCGAAGAAATACAAACCATGAGTGAAGAGGATTCTGTTATTGAAGTTGCAATTCGTAATCTCTCCCTATCATCCCAAGACTCATTATTGGATGAGCAACGATGGGATCCATTATTGGCACTGTTAGCAGTTTGTGGGCAGTCTTCTCCTTCCACATTTTCTGATGTGCTATCTGATTATTGGTTGGTTTTCTTTTACAATGCAACTGACGAAATTACTATATATCCACTTAGCCTATTCTAAATATATTTATCCTTTTTCTCTATTGGATTTAACACATGGATTTTGTTGAATGCAGTGACCTCCAAAGTATTACCAAGGTAGGTGAAGGTACATATGGAGAAGTTTTCATTGCTGGTGAAGCAGTTTGCAAAGTTGTTCCATTTAATGGTGACTTGTTAGTGAATGGGGAAATTCAAAAGGTACTTTTTTCTGAAGCTCTTATATTCCATTGTTTGTTTAGTAGTTAATTTTGGACTTGCAGAGCTGTAAATCCATATTCGGATAAGGTGTAATACTTAAAGGTGAAGTCTAAAGGAATATTATGACATATCACAAAGCAAGAAACTGCGAATCAGGCTACATGTTTAGAACTAAAGCAACTATGCTAAGATGATGTTGTTGCTTTAATATACAACTTCTTGATAGTCTTCTTTCTTAATTCGACTAGCCCATCAATGGGAACATAAATGTTGTTTTTGGTTGGATAATAACAACCTATAGTTGGATAGCATTTGCTATATTGATGCCTTGTTTTTTACTGTCCGATAGAAAGCTGAAGAACTACTTGAGGAGGTTATGCTTTCTCTGACCCTAAATCAACTAAGGGGACGTGATGATCATATCCATAATATTTGTCCTACATTCATAGAGACGTTAAGGTAAGCCTTCCTTTACATAATTTATTTATTGTCTACAAGTGTCACGTGGTCTTTTTGGCAATTCTTTTGCTTTTATATCTACTATGTAATTGCAGCCTTGGGGGGGGGGGGAGCAATTCCACTAAAATGGTGGTTTTAGAACTTCGTTTGGTTTTCAAACAAGCACAAGATGAATAATTGTTTAAATAGAAAGATTAACAATATAAGCTCAAGCACAATACAAAGTGTTAGCACCAAGATTAACCAAGCCAGAAATTAATGATTGTGTAAAATCGTGTCGAACAAAGAGTAAACAAACAGGAAAAATGCATATGTATATCTAAGTAATATTCCAAAAAAATTATCAAAAAACGAGTAAAGATACTAACTTGAAATTGTCGATAGATTCGTAATCAGATAGAGTTCAAGTGAAGAGACCCCAACCCCAATCTTTTGACATGTAAATACATGTCAAGCTTCTCTTAATGGCCCAATCCAAGTCCCTTGATGGGCTTTTGCCTTATAGGACTAACCATATAAGCTCACAGACTTTCTGTTCCCTTCCTATGTGGGATCACTTTCTTGTAGATATCCCAACACAAAGGGTAAAGAGATACTTGACACCGATATAATGTGGTTCACCCAAACTTGGCTATGCCAAGTTGACAACATCGAGTACTTCTCGACATCGACCCGCCAGTCATGTTTTTTTTAAAGGAAGAACAAAAACTGTTTGTACACAATACCTTGAAAACTTAGAACATTCCCAATATTTGGTTGGGATATATAATTTGAGGAATTTATAAGGAAGCTCAAGTGGTGTTTTTATAATTTTATCCTTGAATGAATGTTTGAGTTTCTATGTCTTACAAGGCTTTAGGAATGCATATTATAGTTTTGAATGTAAAGGACAATGACTTGTATACCCTTTACCCCCATAAAGAGGGCTGATGAAGCATCACTTGAAATGCAACATACGGTCAAATACATTACTTTCACGAACAGAAAGCAAACATTATTTAGTTATGGAATTGTGTAGCGTTTCTGGGTGTTTTCCTCTCGGTCTCACTTGCGTGGATTAGAAACTTAGATGATCTATCTTGTGTAAACTATGCAATTGCAATGAATGATTATGGCCTACATTCAGACTGATAATTGCACGCATTTCATTCCCTCCTTTCTGCAGATTAAGGGTATGCACAGGTGCTTATGATGATGCCATGATAAGGGCATGGGAACAATGGGACAAGAAGCATTTTTCAGAGAATGATCATCCTAGGGAATTTACAGAGAAGCAGGTTGTAGATTATGAGGATTAGTCTATTATCGTGCTGCTTCAAAGCTAACAATCCTATGTATTGTCTCAGTGTTTTGTTGTGTTTGTCCAAGAACACGGTGGGCAGGATCTGGAGAGTTTTGTGCTCCTGGGCTTCAATGAAGTACGAAGTTTGCTTGTTCAAGTATGTTTATATCTTTTAACCCTCAACCGCTACACAGTGGTGATGGCTAGAGATGCACAAAAAAGCCCAAGATTGAGCCTACTTTTTTGTTTCTCAAGGGCCAATTAAAGCCTGTTCCAATCCGTTTTGTGCATCTCTAGTGACCACTTTCCCTTTTTTTGTTCGCAAGGGTAATCCATCATGTTTTTCAGGTTACTGTCGCGTTGGCAGTGGCAGAAGCTGCTTTTGAGTTTGAACACAGGGATTTGCACTGGTTTAGTTACTTACCCTCATAATTAATCTGTTTTTAGTTATAGTTCATGGTTAGTTGCCTGTTGAGTTTTGGTCCACATGTAGGGGGAATATTCTCTTGAGCCGTAAAGGTTGTGAGACGTTGCAATTCATTCTTGATGGGAAGAAAATGCATGTGAAGACATATGGAGTGGTGGGATCAATCATCGATTTTACGCTCTCGAGGATCAATACTGGTACGTTTTTGTATCGTATTGTATATATAATGCTTGCTTCAAGTCCAACTAAGGGTGTTCGCGGTCTGGTTTGGGCGGTTTAACCCCTCAGACCACAAAATAAACCGTAATGGCGGTTTATAAAAATTTTCAAACCGAGCGGTTTGACATCAAGTGCTCAGACCGGTCAAACCAGACCACGAAAAGGCGGTCTGGTCTGACCGGTTTAGGCGGTCTGGTCTGACCGGCTTAGGCGGTTTGGTTCTTTAATGGACTTTAAATATTAAACTTAAAAAACATATATAAATTAGAATTTTAGATTAAATATCCATTTTAACAAAACAAATAAATGTAATAATTTAGCAGCTCTTGAGTACAAAGTCGAAGCAATCCAAAGTACAAACAAATAAATATATAATACATATTAGAAAACAAACAAATTAACAAAGTTACAACTCCACTGTGAGTATTGAGTAACAAAATCCAAGACTTCACAACCTTCAATAGTTCAATTATTGAGTCTTGAGTTCTTGACCAAACAAAATAGAAGTCAATTCTAAGTTGGTTGAATCACTTGGTTGATGTCTTGATGATGTGCGCCGAAATCAAACCATGGATTAGAAAGATCGATAGAGTGATAGAGTTCTTGAGGGACTTCAAAATTTGGAGACTGTCAATATCAAATGTGTCGATATGTTTAATGGTTTTAGGCGCCGATTTTGATTATGTTAGATGTTAGACTTAGGGATATATTTGGGTCATAGCCCATAAGTTAAAAAAGTTGGGCTTGCTAATACTAAAATACATAGATAAATATATATATACATAGATAAATATATATATATACATAGATAAATATATATATATATATATATATTTGGCGGTCGGTTTGGTCCAAACCGCCCAAAAAGAGTTCCAGATCGGACCGGACCGCCCGGTTTTGCTATTTTCCAAACCAGACCGGACCGCCAGACCGCTCAAACCGCCAATAACGGTCCGGTTTGACTTGGTTAGACCGGTTTGAGCGGTCCAACGGGTTTTTTGAACACCCCTAAGTCCAACTCTTTCTTTCTGAACAAGTATTTTCTTGTTGGCAGGTGAAGATATTCTTTTTCTGGATCTATCATTGGACCCAGGACTCTTTGAAGGCCCAAAAGGAGATAAACAGGTAACAAACAGAAAGAAATTATTCGGTAGATAGCTTTTCAATTTCTATCTTATTTCCGTTTCCCTCATTTGCATCCTCTTTTCACAAACATCCGCTCTAGTCTTTGAGGTAGGAGTCAGATTTGCATACATCTTAACCTTCCTTACTCTACTCTGGGTGGGATATATTTTAGTTTAGGAAACAGAAATATTACTGTTATCTGGTAACTAGTTGGTTTCATATTATGTGCAGTCCGAGACTTACAGGAAAATGAAAGAAGTTACGGAGGATTGCTGGGAAGGAAGGTATGATAAATGGGAACTTACTGATTCTGTATAAATTAGGAAACTCTATAACAACCAAAATGTATGTATGTATGTATGATGAAACAGTTTCCCGAAGACGAATGTGTTGTGGTTGCAATACCTGGTTGACATTTTGCTGCTGAAAAAAGTATACGTAAGTCCTTTCTTTATGCTATTGTTATTACTACGATGCGTATCAAGATTTGCGTTCTTGTTTCTTTTTTTTACAAATCATTACTGATCATTTCCTCATGGTAAGAGAGATTCAGGACTGTTTGTTAGCAGCTTAATGATATAGAAAGTAGCTTATTCAGTAAGCTTTTAAGGGGAGCGTTATGCAGTTCTTTTTCCCAAGTCTGTCCATCCTAATTAAAAAGCACGCTATTAATCCACACAAAGAGCCTTATCCATACATGACTTCATGAAAAACCAACTGAACAGCCGCTAAGGTCATGTTTGACAACTGTACGTTAGCTTATAAATTAACTTATTTGTTGTGTATATTGAAAAGCCGTAAACTAGCTAATAAGCTAGTTGTTTGAAAGGCCACTTCAAAGTGTCTTTTTTCCTTAGCATGTCAGTTGTGTTAGAATTGAGTAACCTTTTAACAAATTAGTTTACATTTTCATTTAGTTTATCAATTAGTTCTCATAGCCTTTAAGAATTTGTGTCCATAGTGATGCAAATTAAAGATTTTTTTACTGGACAGGATCGGACATCTAGAGACGAGAGGGAATTACGTTCTCTAAAGAAGCGTTTAAATGGGTATGGTTCGGCAAAAGAAGCAGTCAATGATCCTTTCTTCACGGACTTGCTACTTGTCTGTGAGTGATTTAATTTCAAGAAAGCATTTGATCTTGTTGTGCATATGGAAACTTTGCCTTGTTCTTTTGTTTCAAAATACAGGATGAACATATCAATCGTGTTTTTATATTTACAAAGTCTGGATGAAAGGACTTGCCAAGGCTAGTTTATCAAAAATCATTGAGTGAACTCCTGAAAGATTGTGAAAAAGATCTGGTATTTGTTGGATGATCAAACAAATATTTTAGATACGAAGAAAAAACCTGCAAGGTTTTCAACATCTACAAGCTAAAACCTATGCAAGGGTTTCAACGTTTGATGATAAAAATGCATTTTAACAACCCATTATTAGCAACAGTATGAACAATAATCAACAAGAACTAAAGGACAAACCTAGATGACAGAACAAATATAGAAGTCTTTTTTTTTTAACCACAAGGGTGGTGCTTGATTGGTTTGAGCTTGGCTTCAAAGGTCAAAAGTACCAGGAGGTCCCATGTTCAAATCCAAGGAGCAATAAAAATCCCCTTGTGGCCATGGAGGTTTAAATGCGGTGACTCCGGCTATCTGCAAAGCAGATGGTCGCTCTGGGATTAGTCGACTCGCATATGGGTTGGATATCCAGGTTAATCAAAAAAAATATAGAAGTCTTTAACCATGCCAGCTGAACATTCAATGCAGCCATTGGTGGTGGTAGCTCAAATTCTTCATCTTTGGACACCTATCCAATAATATGAAGATACCAGTATATTGAACTATCATCCTTTTGATTAACACAAGCAAAGATAAAAACCCACAGAAAGTGATATTTAAAGCAAAGGTGATAAAATGGTAATACAGGTAGTATAGGTAGTATAGGATTATTGTGATTTCACCACAGATACAAACCTAAATGAACCAAAAACATCATCAAAAACATAAAGTAAACCTAAACGTCCTTTCCATAAGCGGTACCTTAGGAGTGACTGGTGGGAGAACCGAAGAGGGAATTTATGGGGCAGAGTTGGAGCGACACCTTGGGAGCCTGAATTGACGTCTAAATTGAATGTCTTGGGAGCGACAATTGCATTACGCATAAGAAGAGGTACCATATGCAATTGCATCAACCAAGTTGTACCATTTGCATAAATGGCTTGTAATTAAGACTTTATGCATAAAGAAGTAGCACCTTACGCATTTAAGGTTGTTTTTAAGACTTTTAAGACTTTATGCATAAAGAAGTAGTACCTTACGCATTTAAGGTTGTTTTTAAAATTTATCAAATTTGGTTTATAAGATAGTATAGATTGGTTATTTAACGAGAGAATCAAATGTGTTTACATATCCTAAAAAGAATATGATATCCAAATGGATTAATTGGGCCCACAAAAATCCTCAAAAGCCCCTCCCTGCAGCCCATCAGAAGCCCCAAAGAGCTGCCATCCGAAGAGGTGATAAGCTCGAAAGTAGTGATGGCCAAATCGGCCCAGTTTGGGACCGTCAGAGGACCGGAACCAGGACCGGCAAAGGATTGGCCCGGCCCGGGACCGGTTATGGGACCGGGACCGTCGGCCCATAACCGGTTTTGAAAAACCTTGATCGGTCTTACCATTTTCGATCGGGACGGAGATTGGTTATGGTCGGTTACGAGAAAGCTTGGACCGATTAGGACCAGCCCGGCTTGGGACAAGAAGCGGCATGCCATTATAACCAATCCATAGAAATGAGGTAATTAGAAGTAACGATTATATTCAATTATAAGGCAAAGTTGTTAAAGGTTCAAGGCCTTAGTAAGCCTCGTGAATATGCCAGGACTCGACTTTAAAAGAGCCTCAGAGCCTAGGCGCACCTGAGGCCCGCTTTTAACAACTATGTGTATAACGTAGTTAAAAAACTTCATACAGGAAGATAAAAGACTTCTGGGAGAGGCGTCTTCAAATGCATGATCGCCGACTGCCTTCCACCGACATATAACCCCATGGTCGCGTTTCCTCGCATCGTTGCATTATATACTCTCTATATTACTTCAACACCCCTTCACTTATATTCTTGTTTGAATTACAAAGGAAATCGATCCACATGAAAACCCTCAACTGAAAAATGGAAATCGATTACATAGGAATTACATGTTAATCGACGTCTAAGTTGAATGTCTTGGGAGCGGCAATTGCATCCAGCATAGAAAGGAGTATCATATGCATTGAGCATAGTAAGTGAAAGTACCTCAGCGTTGTAATCTCGATAAAATTGAAAATTGTTTTCCAACTCGTCATTAACAAGTTCAAAATCGTAATGGAAGAATATTGAAATGGTTACTTGTGAATGAAAATACAAATTTCACTTCCCTTTTTATAGCAACAGTAAAATACGTATCACTTCACTTAACTAATATTAAGTTCGTTAACATTTTCAAGAAGTCAAAAAAAAATTCTTCCAAACACCTCTAAGCTTATGTTTTCAAAATTTCTTTTCTATATATTTTTATTATAACAATATTGTTTTTTATAAAAAAAAACATAATACAATTTAAACTAATTTATATTTAAACTTTTAATAAAAAACGACTTATTATCTAAATTTTTAGAGTTTGTTGAAAACTGATGATATTATTATTTGAATATTCAAAAATTTAAATAAGAATTGATTACTTACTTTTTAAGTTTTAAAGTCGGAAAAAAAGATGGATTATTTTCTAAATTTTTAAAGTTGCAGAATGATTAATAATATATTATATAAAAATTTAAATAAAATAAAAATTAAGAATTTGCATTTGAATTTTTAAAGTTTTTTTATTCGATTTTTATAAGGACAAATTATACCATATAGTTAAAATTTGTAAAATTATAAAATAATGATATATTATATTTTATAAATAACAAACCTTATTTACTTTTTTAATAGGTAGGGTGCAAATAACAATCTCTGTAAAAAAATGAACGTTTTATCTTATTTAATTGAATAAATTCCAAATTTCCGTCCCTATGATTATTGAAAATTTTGGATTGGGTCCCCCAAACGAAATAATTGCATATAATTTCAGGTTGGATCAGCCGGGTTGGTCGGTATTTTGAGCACCCCTATGTATTACTGTAAAAATGACTTCATTTTCACGAGAAAGTCACGAATTTAACTAAAATCTCATATAAGGTTATATACCTAAATAGTGTGTAACATATAAATCAACTAATCTGTTACGTATGTTTGAGGCTGTAACATGAACAGAAAAATTCCCCCAGCAACAGAAACATTTAGAGACTCGAATTCCCCGGCCATCGTAATGCTTACTAGCTCCGAAACCCGCTTAGCTTTTTCCGAAAGCCCACTCCCTTCACTACCGAGAACCAGACACAGTTTCGTGTCGGTTAAAGAACTGGCAAACTCATGAGAAAGAAACGAGACTGATTTCTGTTCATCGTTACCTCCCGGATGGCCCGCAATGATTTTCATTTGAATCCCATCGACAAAAGATTGTAAATGAGACCATTGGCCGCAGACAATCGGGAGCTGAAGGGCTGCACCCCGGCTAGCTCGAAGTGCTTTCTCGTTGAACGGATCGCAGCAACCGGGGAGTAGGAAGACACCGTCCTGTGAACCAACTGATTGTTAGTTTGCTGTTCATGGAAGATGGAAATGAAGTGCTTAATGTTCCAAAACAAATGTACAAATGGAAAAGAGATACTTGGAATTATTACATTTTTTATTAACGAGATGACAATTTTTTAACTTTTTTTTTTTGATTAACCTGGATATCTAACCCGCTATGCGAGCCGACTAATCCCAGGGCGACCACCTGCTTTGCAGATAGCCCGGAGTCACCGCATTTGAACCTCCGTGGCCACGAGGGGATTTTTATTCCTCCTTGGATTTGAACCTGGGACTTCCTGGTACTTTTGACCTTTGATAATAGAGGGAGTAATGAATTTATCGGTATTATAAGGATAGAATTAGAATCGAAAAGCTGAAGATTACCCATCCAAATGCCACAGCTGATCTTAATAAGGTGCCAAGGTTACCAGGGTCCTGCCATTAAGACAACATCAAAAATTAGCTGAAAACAACTCTGTACCTTCTCAAGGATGCCGATTGAAACGTAAAAGATACCGAAATAAGTGTCTACTTTCCAATTCTACCCCTAATTACGATATTACTTCTATTATCAAGGGTGTAAAACCGTCATTTAGTGTAATAAATGTGTGCCTTTTTCATTATGGACATTTTATTTTGAGACGGAGGGAGTATTAATACAAAACGTGTATTAAGTAAAGCAATCACCTGGATCCCATCAAGAACCAGAATTCGAAATGCAGATGGAAACCATGTCGAGAAATCTTGACGTTGGTCAGCGTCTAAAGAGTGAAAAGTTGAAGGAATCCTCACTAGAGAAATTATATCAATGGATTCCGTGGATTGCACGCCGGAAAGTTTTGTCATCACTGCTGAATTGACACGAACAACATGAATACCGCTCTCGGCCAACTCTTTTGGAACGGAAGCTTTGTCGTGCAGAAGTAAACAATCTATCATAGTCGGTTTCTCTTGCGCCGACTCTTGAAAGTTGTACATTTCCCTGATTTTATAAACACGAGATAGGTTAAACAACATATATAGAATTAATGCTGCCCAATCTAAGGATGAATCAAGAAGCAGAAGATAGAACGGAACAGCTGAAATAGCTCCAAGATGAAAAAATGGTACGAAAGTTAATCAACTAGCATTTTGACACATGACATGCAGAAATTAGCACAAATATGCAATGGGGATGACTGTTTTAAGAAAGGATTCCAGATTACTTGCGGATGCTAAACGAGCAAACGCACCTCTATCCCAAACTCCAGACCTTATAAAGAACTTGGCCTTATATATCATAATAATCTCGTACAATTGTTCGAATAACTACTGTAATCAGTCATCACTTGTAGAGAATTGGACTTTGCTGCTAATAAGCTGCACAGTCAATTTGTGCAGACACTTCAAACTGTGCACTTGCTTCGATTACTTGGATATGTTAAGGTAATTCTGGGCCAAACTGCTTCTCATTCTTTGAGTCAGCCAAGTTGCCTCGATTGCAATATCCATTTCTCGAAATTCTATGTTCTTGGGTGATGCTTTAGTGTCTTAACCCAAAAGAACCTAGAGTCGTAATGCAAAAGCAAGTACAAACAGACTTTCCTCGATGCCGTTTGTACTTTTCTATAACCATGGGTTCAGACCAGCTTGTGCAGCTCGACTAATCCCACAGACCCCTAAGATAAACAGCGAGTAAAATCCACAATGGCCCTGAAGTGAAGAGACTTCCCTTACCCATTCGTATCGTCTTTCTTCATGTCAATTTTATAGAGTTGCACAAGAACTATTTGTCGACGACTAGCTCAAGAAATTGTTTTTATAAGCCAGAAGTTCGGTTCAGCATCACCACATTATGTAAAGCATATATCACAAATAGTGAAAAGCCAGAAACACATTGAATCTAAAGCTTCAAAGATTCAAATATTGTATTAATTACTTAGGGGCTGTTTACCCAAATGCTTACCGATAAGTATTTACCTATACGAGTCTAACACTATAATTTATTTTGATGAGTAAGATTTTAATACATCAAAACATATTGAATGCAACAATTTACCGGATAAGGGCTTATCTGGGTAAGAGTCGTAATCTTCGCTCACTGGGTAAGACTCTCCATCCTTCTCATCTATTACCTGGTAATCTTCTTGGCCCTTGTCATGTTCATCCGATAAGGAAATTTATTTGGTAAGCAGTTACCAAGTAAGCGTTTAGTAAACAGCCCCTTAATCAAAGAAACATATATACCATTCATGAATATAAACTGTTTGAATTTCCCCAATAAAATTTGAAAACTAGATTTGTTCAAAATTGATATGAACCTAATTGCTTATAGCATTTTCACCTAGCAAAACTAGAATTAATAACCTCAATTCACTTTTATACTACAAATTTCTAGGTCTGACATAAACCCTAAAATTCGTGGTCTTGAATTCCAACCAAAAATACGTCGAAATTCGAACTTAATGGAGACATCCAATCAATCTCTTATTCAGACAAATTCCAACATCATCGCAGAAAATCAGCAAAAAAACCCATGATAGAATAATACTCATTAAAGGAACACAAACAGGGTTTTTAGGAATTAGGATTATAGATTCATACCTCAGTGGAGTAGTGCCCACAAGAAGAACAGAACCATGGGAATGGCGATAAGAAGAGCTGTTGCGAAGCTTAACGCAGTGTTTGACAAATGGGTTCGATGTGCTTGTGATGGATTTAACATGGAACGGTAGTATTTTAGAAGGTGTTGCCTCTTTAGGATCGCCATTTTGGGATTTGGGAGGTTGGATTAGTGATAGAGAAGAATGTAAATGTTGTTTGCAGAGAAACAATGGGGAAGATTGTGGGAAGGATGATGATGATAACCACATCCTACTTGCGTTTTACATTCATTTTCAATTTTCTGTTTTTAAACACCTTTCAATTTGCATATTTGTCTTCAAGAAGACCTTCATAACACCATCTTCATCGGCTATCATTATTAAATTTCATATTTTTTTTATTTTTTATTATAATTTTGGAATATAAATGTTTTTTTTAATATAATCGAATATGTTAAAAGAATTGGAATTTAAAAAAAATAGAAAAAATGGAATATTTCGAAGGAATTTGATTTTGAAAGAATTGAAATGGGAATTTGACAACGCATTTGGTTGGCATGAATTGGAATGCAATCTGTTAAATGATTTGAAATATGTCTGTTTGATTAGTAGAATGTAGCTTTGGAATTGCAATGAAAAAATGGTAAATGACCAAAATATCATTGTTATGACAATTTTTGTAATTTGTTTCTTAAATTATAAGTAATGAAGTTTCAACTATAAGTTTCCCTAGCTACTCCATTTGAAAGATAGGGTTTCTAACTATAAGGGTGGTGTCTGATTGGTTTGAGCTTGTCCTCCAAAGGTCAAAGTGTCTAGAGGTCCTAGGTTTGAATCCAATGAGAAATAAAAATCCCGTTGTGGTTACGGAGGTTTAAATTCGGTGACTTCATGCTACCCGTGAAGTGAAGCAGGTGGTTGCCCTAAGAGGCTGGGATTTGTCGGCTCGCATAGTGGGTTGGATATTTAGGTTAATAAAAAAAAGATAGGGTTTCTTCATCATTGCAAAAGAACACAATTCGATAGAGAGATCCAAATTTGTAGCACCTCTAGTAATTTCAAAGCATTAAAACAAGTGGAGGTTCTTCAACGATTATGGTTCAGAATGGTGGTTCAGGCAAACATCTATTGAAAAGAAGGGAAGGGTGGTTCAGAACGGCGGTGGTCGGCAATGGTTCAGAATGGTGCTTCAAATAGTTGGTGGTCAGCAGTGGTTCAGAATGGTGGTTCAGATCGGGGGGTGGTCGGCGGTGATTCAGAATGGTGGTGGTCGACTGTGGCAAGTGGCAGTGTTATATATCAAATTCTTCATCATCTCTTTGCTCTTTGATATGGTGATGAAGTTTTTCAAATACAGGTCATATGAGTCTAGGTAAATCAAGCAGGGAAGATGGGGATAATTTTGTCTTTTTGAGAAAATGGAATGAAATGAAATTGAATTCTTTTTCAATTGTGATGGAATGACTAAATCCATAAATGATGGAATGTGCGGAATTCAATTCCGTTGCATATGTAAATGGAATTAATCTTCTCCTTCTCCTTCTTCTTCTTCGTCTCCCCCTCCTCCTCCTTCTTCTTCCGGAACATACTTAGGGTTATAGTCACTAAGACCAAACGTATGCTCTCAAAAAAAACACTCGGGGTTATAGGAGGGTGCTTGTATTGAGACCCAAACATGGGCTAAGGAACATACATTCCTTGAGTCTGATATCGATCTTGGGTTTGGGAGTAGTCATACATTCTTGGATTAAAACTATCATCGATATCGTATTCAGTGTTGGAACTACCACCGACATCGCCTCCATCGTACATCGAAAGATCGACATACGCATAAAGTGTAGGCGGGTTATTTGACTCAACGACGAATTCCATGAAACCACGAACATCGTCATTGTTACTTAACTCATAATTTGAACTATAATACTTTGTATGCTAACCTGATTATACCAACATAACTATTGGAACCAAATTTTCTCTAAATATAACTAACCAATCTTGGATGTTTAACGTTGGCATGGAACAACAGAGCATGGTGCATTGTTTTACCAGAAGAAACATACCACCACTCATCCTTAACTTTCACCCATTCACCATCGGGATGAAGATGTAACTTAATTTCTTCGGTACCAAGACTCTTTTTCAGATAAATTTTCGGCGTCCTTGGGGTAATCTCGTAGTTCCTACGGGGTGGAGATGATGGGGTCGGGAGGCAGCAGTGGGGAATTTTCCGCAATGGGCGAAAGCCTGACGGAGCAATGCCGCAGGTGCAGGTAGTCCGCATCTTCACAGACATGTCTATTTCACCGAGCCTCTCTCCGAGACAGTGCCCAGATCTAAAGAAAATAAGGTGATGTGGTTTTTTGTATATCTTTATCATAGGATCATTCATCAGTCATAGATCGGATAAATTAGAATCATCCAACAACCATTAATCAATGTATAGGAAAATTGTACAATTATTGTACAATGCAGAATCGATTTTCATACTATATTGAAAAAAATAGTGCATATCTACTAGTAGTGATGGCCAAAAACCGGTCTCGGGCCGGGTCAGTTCCAACCGGTCCCAAGATTTCTCATAACCGGTCCCGGTCCCGCTCGAAAAGGTTGTCCCCGGTCAAGCTTTATTGTAACCGGTAATGGACCGCCGGACCGGTCATTAATTTTTTTTATTTTTTAATTATATATATTTTTAATACGTTATAAAATTTGTAATTGGGTCACTCAAATACACTTTCAAAATGCGTTTTATTATAATTAAAATTACATTGTCTTACAAAATATAGCGAGAAACCGATAATTATGAACGTTTTTTTTGCCTTTTGGCGAATAGAGAACTTGGTATGTAAATCCCACGACCAAGACACTTATATATAGTGTTTAGAAAGCAAAAAATACAAAAAAACGGCTACATTTTTTTAAAAAATATTGTTACATTTTTTAAATATCGGGCTGTGCCGGGCCGGTCCATAACCTGTGTAACACCTCATACTCCACATTTGCATAAAACACATATTTCATTACATAGAAACATGGATTACATCAAAAGGTCTCACTAGTACATGGATGCTATATGTACAAAATCTACATATAAAAAATTCCAAAACTAATCCTGTACTACTACATGAATTRCAACATGTATCTTCAAAAGCAGGAAACAGATWAGGAAAATAATCACATTTTCCCTTTCCCTTTAATATCCCCGGA